GTACAAAGATAAACTGTTAATACACACATACATTCTAATAATTTATATATGTATGTATATATAACCCTATATCTACCTTGATTAGTGATACATACAACATGTTGCCAGAGTGTAATAAGATTTCGTGTATACTTTTACCACTTATAATAAATAATATAAGTATTACCACTATAGTTAGTATTTTTTATGATAAATGAAATTCTAAGGACAATATTTCGGTTTTCGAGGACAATGCGAAAATGGAGAAATTTATTTTTTTATTATTCAATCTTTCGAAAAAAATTCGTTTGGTTCAATATGCAGAAAATAGCTAGAGCTTGCAGTAAAGTGCAATTAATATGATATTATTTAAAATGGGGCGACAGCAGATACCAATACACATTTTATAAAGGTTGTCAAGATAATCATGCATACTTGCTTGTCAAAGCCTTAAACTGATTAATTTCATGCAAATGAACTGAACGATCGGAATCAAGTGCTTGTATAGAAAGCTTTTTCATTTAACGAGCCACTATAGCATACGAGTATACCTGTCATAGAACCGATCAAAATCAAGTAATTGTAAGGAATAATTTGTATTTTTGAAAGGTATTATCAGGGCTGCACCGAAGCTAACGTTTTTACTTCTTTTTTGTTTTATTTTTCGTCAGTTCAATATCCGTCCATCGTCTAATTCATATCTAATTTTAGATTTGTATCAACAGTTAGAAAAGCTTTTAAAAGGAAAAAGTATTCAAATCTCCATGAAGCGTAAGACAATATTTTGATAAGATACTAAAGAATCTTCTTTCAAATACCTTCGTGAATTAGTATTTGAAGCAAGGGTCTTTTGTTTGTTGAGTCTAAAAAAAAATGTGTGTGCATGGATAATTATCCGAAAGATACTCATTTGAATATCTGCCATTATACCAACACTTTGCTAATATATCTCACAGATTTATCGACATTTTCATAAAAAGTCAGCAATATGCACTGAGGTCCACACATTCGGATCTGGGGACTTAAAAAGTTGGCATATCTTGGTGGCACTATTTTTCCAAAGTTTTGTTCCGATATCTTCATTGGTGCCTGAGTTATATAATATAATGTGGAGTGTTATATAGGTAATAGGTGTGGTTGTAGTTCGATTTCGCCCTATTTCACACTGCAACATAAAATTAAAAATGTTAAGCACCAAATTTAGTTGATGTTGGTCGACCAGTTAGAATATTAGACATCACGACCTTATGCGTTGTGATGAAAATGGATATAAATTGGCTAAAAACTGCAACACCCGTATAACGATAATATTTAAATCTAAATAAATTACTTGCTATTTTCCATAAGCATAACTCTCATCCGTATAAAAATGTATCTTTCCGGTTGACTTTACATTATATCATCGAATTTCCTTGTATCGGTCAATATATGAGAAATCTAAATGAAAAGAAGTTGCGGCTTTTAAGCGTAATGTGTTTTGGGACCAAAAATGAGTGAAATTGATGAAGAATCTCCTTAACTCGATTTTAAATGATGCCATAAGGATTTGTTCTTTTGGTTGTCTTAATAACATCACTTCGATTAGAAATTTCAATTTATGAAATTTGATTGAGTTGTAAAGTCAATTTTTATAAGCGAAGCACTCAGGTCTGCTTGTTGCTTTTATGAGATGACGTCAATGACGAGAATATGTTGGCAGATCTACTCTTGTTGGCTAAGGCAGGTTTATTAAAGTCCATATGTTTAAGCCAGTGTCTCCACTAAGGATCAATATAACTATTAGTAGAACAGGTATTCAAAGTATTATTCCTTCTAAATTTTGCTTTCATAATTTTGGTAATTCGAGCATTTCCTAACAGAATCGTGCTGAATAAATGTGTTCCTGCTTTCTCGCTCTTTACCACCTCCGACACAAGTGCATAAAAAAGACGCAAGGAGTGCGGCAAATTTAATGCAATAAAATGAGTTGTGAACAAAGACCATTAATGTGCGTCTTCTCAAAGCCAATGCTGTCTATAACAAAGCGGACCGAGTTCCCAAGCACAAGAGCGTGAAAACATAATCTCATCACGGGAACAAAGCGCTCAAACTCAATTGATATATGTTTTGTATGGGATCCAACGAACACTGCCAAATTCAACGCCAGTAAGTGATATCCGCTGGGAGTTTTCTATAACCGAACGCAATTTGGATACGCTAAATCAACGTAATTTGCCGTGGCTCATTTGTGCAGTGCAATGGCAACGCGACGGCGTGGAATCCTATAAGTGAGCCATCATCACACATAATCGTTTATAAGGGAATGTGTGAGTGTGCGCATCGATTTGTGGGTAGCAAGTGGTGCTCTTGTTAGCAGCTAAGCGCGGCAGTGGCAGCAACCCCAAAAAGAGCAGAGGAATTCGACTCGCTCTGTAAGAATTCGACACGGCAAGCAAATTTGTGTGCTGCTGCTCGTGTCAGTGATGCTCGCATGGGAAAATGGCCACAGTAATGTTGAATAAATTTGTTCAAAGTGTACGGGTAAATAAAGTCAACAAGGGTGTGCGATTTGAAGATTTGCCGATTTTCTGATTGTCTATTGCCGACGTGTGATTTGTAAGGGCATTCGTTATGCGAAATGCGCAGATAAATAAGGAAATATTGAAATTCAAAAACAAT